TCAGCAGGATTCCTACAAGACCAAAACTATTTCTAAGACAGACTGCTTTGTGAGACAAGCTCTGTTCTCAGCTGATTAAAGAGACACTGTACGGAGAGAGGTGAGTCTCAGGGTCCTGAGGACAAAGACACATGCTATTTCACTGGCCATGTTTACTTTTACACATATGTTATGAACCTATTTCCAACACCCTATTACCATGCAATTGAATACAAATAACAGTTGGCTGATGTTATGACAGTAAATAAAAACCCGACACTGTTTTGTTGATAAGCGTAAACACTGAAAATTATTGATTACAAAGATGAACATTATCTACCATTTGGTAACACCTAAGAACAAATACGGCAAAATATTTTAAAAACACTACCTATATCTGTAAAGGTCTTCCAGGCACCTTATGAGATTGGATTCTGCCCGCCTGCCTCCCCTGGAACTTAGCTGAATACTAAATAAAGGCTGGATGCTAAGTCCTGCTATAGACTGAACAGCATCCAAACAGTATATAATTCATAGACATATGCTCCAGTCATTTTTCTGCAGTGCGCACTCTAAGCAAGCTAAAAGTAAACCTCACCTTTCCTAGAGCTTTATTCCTGTTCAGTCTTAATGCCTGGTTCATGATAGTACGTAGGTGGAATCTGGAAACAAAAGGCTGTTCCTCAGTCATGGCTACGCCGTGCACAGAGAAGTTCATTTCATTATTCATGCATTCCCAGAAGAGGCCAGACAGACGCGGGCATGACTATAAAACAGACTCTCTAGTAGCTTTCATATGGGGATTATTTCTTATCGGCAGGAAGGGGAAGCTTTATCCATCTGTCAGAAACCACCGAGGGGCCACTGGCCCCAGTTCCGATTGAGTCAGAGTGAAACTACTCATGTATGAGTTTTTCAGATTGTAGAAAGTTGTTTATGAACCACAGAAGAAGAATGCAGTGTTCCGAATTTTCATGTTTGTGGGATATAGGTTGATACTAAAACACTAATACACGCATAGCAAGCTTTTACTCATCATTAGTAACCCCAGCAAGATGGCAGTAAGCTATGATGGTTTTAATAAAACCCTGGTGTTCAACAATATCAGTTAGGCAAGTCTGGTTACACTTTTTGGCATGAATTGCCAAAGAATACCCGTTTTTAAAAAGCAGCTATTACAATTACAGCTACATATAAGAGATTAGCCATGCCTTTGAAACGTAACTTCCTTCATACCCTCATAGGCACGTTTGCAACTGAAAACAAGGAATGTGAGTTGGAGTACAATTTGTGACATAGAAAGTAACAACCATCTTGTCAAGCAGCTCCACAGACATGAAACAGATTCTAGAAAAGCTGTCTCTCCGCATTTGTGGTTTGCAGCAACAAATAGCCCAAAGCATTAGGCTAGCAATGAACAAGGAGGAA